AAGGAAGCCAAGGTATCGTATCTCCTGCGAATTTAGATCAATTTCGGTTTGTATGAAGTATTAGTATAGATAGAATATTAGTATTATGTAGTATTACTGAAGTTACTATTCCTGTACATCGGTGGATCTCGAAGTTTTTCATTACTCCACTTATTTAGATATCGATTTACTAAATTCTCTTGAGGACCTGCGTCTTCGGGAGAAATTAACTCGTAATATCTTGTCAGGTTCGGTGATAGCGTCGGTGGTGGTGGAGATAGCGGCGGTTGTGGAGGTGGCGATGATGGTATAGATGATGGTGGCAGAAACAAAAACTTCTGTGGTGGTTGTGATGAAGACGATGTTCCAGGACCTGATCCGTCACTTCGACTATGTGTGCTCAGAATGCTGGTATTCAAAGTAACACTGTTGTGGAAACAATCATCAGCATCTGGATCACCACTGACGTCCGATTGGCCTGGTCGTCTGTTATACCTACGACATTCTATCAGTCCTCATCTAGTTATTCCAACTTCCGATAAGTGTATGTGTGTCTAAAACAATGTGGAAATTACAATGCAAAACTATTATATAACGATTTTCGTAAATACCTGGATACCTGCAAAAACATGGCGAAATAAAACAAATTCAAAATAATAAATTATAACTACTAAGCAAGGTTGTTTATGGTAAATTTCTTATTTTATTATAACAAATGCTTATATACTTGTTATAAAACGATATGGTTCAAAGGTATTACTCGAAAATAAATACTCAATACAATAGCTCAAAGTTAGGTAGCCAATTTTCAGGGTATATTTTTTCAACAGACCGGTTTGTATTCAATTGCCAAAAATATATGTTTTACTTATTATCCTCGATTACATTTGCACATAACATCAAAGTATATACTATAAAATAATAGTTTCACTTACTTTTTTCAAGAAGACAAGTTTTTTTATTGTAAACAGGTAACATACACATGCGATGACATCAAATGTTCATGCGCGGGTGCACGATGGCCAGTAGACAGGCCATCTTGAAAAAAGGCGCGAATCTGTGATTGTGCGTGACGAACTTGAAAGCTGGTCTGTCAACGGGCCAGTGTGCTCTATGGGTCGTAATGTTGATAAGATTCAATATTTAAATAAATATCTATGAGATAACGACCTTCAAGTGACTGTCCAGTTTACTGGCCACTTTGTATGAGCCGTCCTAAAAAGGGTGTGGCGGGACTTCCATAGTAAAAGTAAATGCATGAAAGTACACCAAGCTACTCTACCAACAACAAAATATGACATTTAGTTTTGACAAACAGTGTTGACAACATCGATGAATTCAAATAGTGCTGTAATTGTCTATCCTCGAATAATTTTATCGATATATTGTTTATCGATATTTTTACATGATAAAAGTTAGATCTCTATACAGAATTATTTATGAGAAATAAAATTTTTAACGAGGGAATTGAGTAAAAATGCCGATGAGGATATGAAATCAATGTATTTTACACACAGCCATTTGTAATTATATCTCTACAATTAGGTACAAAAATATGTATAAAGAAAATTTGAAATAAAAAAGGCACTAATATACTAGTAATTAATTAAGTAAAAAATAAATGAGGACTCAATAGTGCAGTGGCTAAGCGTTTGGCTACGGCATTGCAGGAGCGAGGCTTCGTTCCCGCACTGAACAAGTGTTGCTATGCTGCAAAATAAATAGTCTGAATCTGGATGCTTGTTTTCAAAGTTTGTTTTTTAAAGGGTAAAAATATTAGGTTTTTAACACTGATTGGATTAAATTGCATGTACAAATCGCTAGGCTTCTTCACAGGGGTACCTATGTACATACTATTCGCTGAGATCGTTTACTAATTGTCGCTTTCAAAATGACTGCTCATTATAGCTAATGTTTGTAGATTAATGTATAAAAAAATTATTTATAACCAGGTAATTACAAATAACTTTCAGTTTATTTATATAATCGAATTCTTACCAAAATGTGACTTTAGAGGGATATTATCTTTTGCTACATATAAATGAAACCTAATTAACATACACATAATTGTGAAAGTTTAAATTAAGTCCGCTGATGAAATAACAGTTCGTTTTAGTTGGATTCAAATGCAATGTTAGCCACAAATATGTTTAAACATGTGAATCTTTTCAATTGGTGCATGTGCCAGCTATTTCACCCATTGCTTGCATCTGAAAAAACAATATAAATAAAATCACATTTTTATTGAACTAATAGAATGTTAGCAGTCACAATTGACTGTGTAGTTTCTAAGTATAGTTCGTTTTGGATTGCCACACCATCGAACTATCTGATCTAGGAAATAGTGTGTTTGTATTTGTGCACATAATCGTACACAATAAAAACCTGTCCTACGTAGATGGCTAGTCCAAAAATGTACTCGCGTTAAGTATCATATTACTATTAAAGTTGAAATCACCACACACCTTTCATCATCTAAGGGAAATATAGCTACCAATAGCCTTTTCTTGTTATCATTTATTCCGCTTCTTGCACCATTTAATTGGAAAGTTAAAAATTAAATATGCATTATAAGAATATTTAATTTTTAACAATTGTGTAAATGAACAAAGGCTTCTATAGCAAAATTAAAAGCAATGTTAACAAATAAAATATATACAAATATAATTTAAAATTAAAAATTTTGTACAGCCGACTTCAATATAAGTTATTTAAGAATAACTTAAAAACTATTGGTCTGACCTTGATCAAATTCATATGGAACCACACGAGAAGTACCAGCTTTCAAATAAAAAAAGAATCATCGAAATCGGTTCACCCAGAAAAAAGTTCTGAGGTAACACACATAAAAAAAAAAAACGAAAAAAAAAAAAAAAAAAAACATACAGTCGAATTGAGTACCGGCTCCTTTTTGGAAGTCGGCAGATAATTGTTTGATTTGACATTTGAACCTATTTGATTTGACAATGTCGTTAAAAGACATATTACGAAATGCAGAAAGAAAAGATAACCGTCATTAAAATTTGACCCCTGTAGTACATATTATTTTTTACTATGGAAGTTGCACCAGCCGAACGGAATTTTGAATGACACTATCACTCTAAGTCTAATTAGTCTATGAATATATGTTGCGTAAAAGAGTTTTGGCGGGAACTTGACCGGCGGCGGATTGCTGCTCCTTTATTATTGTTTAAAAAATGGTTTGAAGTAGATTTTGATATGTAGAAGTGGTGCAATTTTGTGTATTAAGTGTCTGCGCATGTGAACTACTAGTGGAAACGGTGAAAAAAGTGCTCTGATCAGTCAGTCAGGCTCTGAAAGGCTAGAACCTAGTGCCGTAAAGCCAATTATAAAAAAAAGTAGAATGAAATTGTTATAAAGTGAGTGATTTTAACAATTTTTTATTTCTTAACTACATGGATGCTGTTTAAATAATTAATATTTTTGAGATGTGCTATTTGAAATCCGTCTGTCAGCATTTTATACATATACTCAAAATTCGTAGGCTAGGGTAGGGGGGGTAAATCTGCGCCACGCACATTTTCTCGAAATTCCACACAACAAGTAATCGAATGTCACTACGAAACACGCATAACAATTAAATTAATACATTAACAATTTCATTCAACTTTTTTTATTACTGGTTTTATATGTGGTGCTTGATATTTTTGAGATGTGCTATTTAAAATACGTCTGGCAGTAGTTTTTTATGTTTATACTCCAAACTCATAGCAGGCCTCCGTCACTCGCTCAGGACCCTGCGTTATATGCCTACCGTTTTGCGTATCGCCCACGATACAACTGACATTAGGTTACCGCACGCCCGCCTGAGCGCTTGCACCGCGCTCGTTTCCCGCGCTTACTCGTCGAAATGCCGAAACCACGTAATTATTGCGCAGTGGATGGATGAAAGAGTAAAAAAAACAAATGAACAATTGTCTTTTTTTTCTTAACTATAAGGTTACATCGAAACTAAGCATAACAGTGCTGTAATTTATAAATTGAGTGACAACCATTTTCAACGATAAAATTTAATAACCGAGAATTCAGAGAAGGAAAAAAATGTATAAATCATTCTATAAAACTCAAACATATTTTATTGACAAATATAAAATAGGGTTACTTCGCAAGATTCGTTTTATTACAATAATCATCATAGGTACAACCCTAGCGCATTCGTGCGATGACGCGCTTGCACGTGAGTCACACGGTGGTCAACAAAATTTCGACCCTTTTTACGCGTATTTATGGGACATTTTTCTCTCGCTGCGAACAGCAGATATTATTATTAAGATTTTGTAGGCTATTATAGCGTAGGTATTTTCGCTTTTGTATGGGAGTGATGTATCTGTTTAGTAAACTATTAAGTAATCTGTGCTCATAGGCTGTGGTTGCAGATATCGCCCCGCAAAAAATGACAGACAGTTTGGTATAGGAAAATAACGCTATGGCTACTTCTCTCCTGTGTTGCTCTATGACAACAACAATAAAGTTAAAGTTAGTACAGTAAAGTTACAGCTTATATACGTCCCATTGCCGGGCACAGGTCTCCCCTAATTTCTGTGGGGTTTTAGGGCGAGGAAATGTCCGCCACGCTGCCCTAATCTATTTTCTATGCTCAAAGGCCCCAATGCGTGTTGGCGAACTTCACATGTCTTAGATTTTCTTTTTCTCAGGCATGTAGGTTTCCTCACGATATTTCCCTTCACCGTCAAGCACGCGGTATTTCAGCACTTAAAATTGCAAGTAACAATTTCATTGGTGCCGGTGGGGATCGAACCCGTGTTGCTCGCGTACTGTAAAATTACAGCAAGCGCTAATCATCTGAGCTACCACGGACTACAACAATAACCTCTCTGGATTCAAGTTCAAACTTCAAATGTCATATCAACTGTCAGTGTCATTGTCTTTTATATCAATTATCAACATAAGTTTGTGGTTATAAAGTTAATATATTTTTGATAATTTTCCAATAAGTTGTGAGTTGTTGTAATATTAACTTATTTTAAATGTTATAAGCAATGGCAGCAGAACCAGCAGAAGTTCAGCTGCAAGTGCGGTTTGTTACAAAGCAGGAACAGTTAGTATTACTATTTGAACCACCGGCGTGTTTATGTTTTTTCTTTACACGTGTATAGTAATAACTAACATTCTATTATATTTCATCCAGATATGCAGTATCAGATAGTCCTTACGCTATTCAAAGTAATGTACAGTCTTCAGATCTCAATACATTAGTCAATGCTTTGCTGAAGGAAACTAAACCGTCGCTCCAGAAATCAGTGGAATTTGACTTTTTAGTATGTGGCGAATTACTTTGTACCACAATAGCTGAACATTTGCAAGAAAAGGGAGTATCAACAGAAGATACTTTAGAAATTGAATATCTGGAAAGGTTTCCAGCACCTACTCCTCAGGAATGCTTAATGCATGATGACTGGGTGTCAGCAGTGCATACTCACGGCAATTGGTGAGCTTAATTTATTAATAAAATAAAGGAAAGTCAATATATATAATTATAATAGTAATTAAAAATATAATATGGGACTGGTAAATTTAAATTAGTTGACTGATGAAACAAAAAATTGCCATATATTACAGATTTTAAATAATACTTATCAAAATGCATTTATATTTTACCAAATGTTTGGAAAAATGCTTCTGCCCTAGGAAAAACCAGCAAGAAACCTAGTGGGATATTTTTGTCTCAATACAGACAGACAGTAGCCTAATAGCTGGGTGAGGACAGTAAACTCAAAAGGTTGAGGGTTCGAATCCGCCATTAGACTACTGTGGGAAACCACTCCTAACATAAGCATTTTAGGAGTGGTTACAGGGAATATTTGTAATGTAAATAGCATTGCTAGTATTTAAAAAAATATTTAAAATTATTGGGTAAAAAATATGTATTCTAATTATAATATTGATTAATATTTAAAAATTAATAATTCTATTTAATTTTATTTGCCGTGTATTGGTGGTTAAGATTATCCACCTCCCCATATCTTCCCGTGGGTGTTGTAAAAGGCGACAAAGGGAAACAGGCAGGAGATGGGCAGTAGCATCTTCCTGATAACAGCATAAATACACGGTTGACGACCCGCTCGCCAAGTGTGGCAACTATGGCAAATACCACCCTATGAATGTAACAAAGAGATGGCCCCCAGTCCCCGGCGGCCCCGCTATTCCTGGCTACGTTGGCGACCATGGTAAGGGCGGGGCAGGGGGTGCTAAGAATCTCCCGTGGAGGTTTGGTGGCTTAGCTTTCCATTGACGTCCGTAAAGTTTGGTGTTGATACGTATTTTTACAGAAAGATTACACTATTATAAAGCACACACACAAAGTTTTAACATGCTGAAACGTGTACTTTTAGAGAAAAAAAATATTTGAAAATAAATTATTCTTGCAATGTTTATGTTAAATTCCTACCGTTAAACTGGCGCCATTTTATAATGTCATTGTCATCGTCAGTAGGGATGTCGATTCTTTCCGAAAAAGATAGATTTTTAAATCGATTCGAATCGTAAGCTGTATTGATTAATAATAAATCGATTTCTAAAATATAGATATATTTTCCTGTTTGCATTTATAAGATACCATAATAAGTGATCTCTTATGGAAAAAAAGAAAGATAACACAATAAATGATCTCTTATCAGTAAAATCAGTTTTAATGGCGATTTTCAAGGGTGAAATATCAATTCATTGGATCGATTCTGTACTGCATACCGATTTAAAAAAACAGATATTTTGGGCCTGACAAAGAATTTTACATTTCATAAAGTGTCATCAAAAGATATTGTAAAATATTTTAAAACTATTGATGTTAAGAAAACTGCGGATCTGTGGGGGATTTCCGTTAAAGTTATTGCGTCTATAATAGATACAATCGCGCCTCATTTAGCTATTATTTTTAATACTAGTATCGAATCAGGTGTGTTTCCTGATTTAATGAAGCATAGTAAAGTAATACCTTTATTTAAATCTGGTAGTACATTAGACCCCGCCAATTTTAGACCTATTTCTGTACTACCAACACTTAGTAAGATTTTTGAAAAAATTGTTCTTGATCAAATGTTAAATTTTTTTAATATAAATAATTTACTTCATAAAAATCAATTTGGTTTCACAAGGGGTCGCTCGACAACTGATGCCGGTGTTGAGCTGATTAAATATATCTTTAATGCATGGGAGAATTCACAGGATGCTTTGGGTATATTTTGTGACCTATCCAAGGCCTTCGATTGTGTTCACCATGAAACATTAATCAGGAAACTTCAACACTACGGTGTAAGAAGTGATGCCCTTAAATTAATTATTTCATATTTAAGTAAGAGAACGCAAAAAGTTGTCATTAACAATATGAGCTCTTCCGGATCGACGGTACAAATGGGCGTGCCTCAAGGCTCAATTCTCGGCCCCTTTCTGTTTCTTGTATACATTAATGACTTACCTTACATAGTAGGGGTTAACCATGATATAGTATTATTTGCAGATGACACTTCTTTAATTTTCAAATTAAGTCGACAGTTACTAAAATATGACGAAGTAAATAATGCTATATCTAAATTAGTAAATTGGTTCGATGTTAATAATTTGCATTTAAATGGCACTAAAACAAAATGTATGAAATTCGTGACTTCAAATGTCAAACAATTAAATACTAATGTAATTTTAAATGGGGAGAAACTGAGTCTTGTAGATACCACCATTTTTCTTGGAATCACACTAGACGCGAAGCTTCGATGGAGCCCCCATATATCAAAACTAGCAAGCAGACTTAGTTCTGCAGCATATGCTGTAAAAAAGATTAGAAGTCTAACCAGTGTTGAAACAGCTAGACTAGTTTACTTCAGCTACTTCCATAGCATAATGTCGTATGGTATTTTGCTATGGGGACACGCAGCTGACACTGAAATTATATTTGTTTTGCAGAAGAGGGCCATAAGAGCAATTTATGATTTAAAGCCTAAAGAGTCGCTGCGACAAAAATTTAAGGAAATTAATATATTAACTTTGGCCTCTCAATACATTTATGAAAATGTAATGTACGTACACAAAAATAAAAGTAGTTTTACAAAAATAAGTGATATTCATTCTGTAAATACTAGGAACAGACACAAGCTAGTAGTACCAGTTACTCGACTCCATCGAGTCAGTAATTCATTCTTGGGGCGATGTATACGCTTTTACAACAAAATTCCAGAAAATATACAAAGTTTGACCTGTTCAAAGTTCAAAAACTTTATTAAACTAAGTTTGTATAAAAAGGGTTATTATAATATTAAGGAATTTATGGATGATAATAACCCCTGGAAATGAGGTGATCGCTACCAAGCTATTTCTAATTTGTTGTGTTGTTAATTTGTGTAACATCATGATTGTAAGCTGTTATTTAAAAAAAAAGTCCCGCTGGGTTTCTTGCTGGTTCTTCCCAGGACAGAGGTTTTTTCCGAACCAGTGGTAATCAAACAAAAGAGTGACTTTCAATAAGTATTATTTATAATCTATATTGAATAAAAAAGTTTCTGTTTCTGTTTCTGAAAAATCGATCTCAGATCGAAGAAAATAAATTAAAAATAGAACATAAAGTTGTCTTCGAAGAATTACTTAAGGCTATACAATATGTTTATAAAATTGATTAATAAGTTATTAATTATATTTGATTTGTTTTATTTTAACAGTACCTATTAGGGCAGATAATAAATAAAATAGGTTAGGTTCTACTTATGTCAAAGAACCAAATTGATTGACCCCGACTCCACCTGGTACGAGTCTGTCCTACCCCTAGAGTAGTTATATAGAGCCGGAGGCGCGTAGGGGGAGCAGCCTCCGTGTGCCGTAACAAATCGTAGACATCGGACGAGCCGGAGCGGCTGAGGCAGGTCGCCGAAGGTCGCCGACCAATAAGCCGAAGCTGTGGAGGCGAGGAGGGATGCCTGCGATTTGTTACGCAAAGGCGTAGAGGCTGCTATTCCCGCAGCGCCGGAGACGTTGCAGTCTCAAAATATATACGGAAATCCCTTTGAATTAGTCCCCCTACACCTCCCCCCCCCCTTCAATTCGATGAATGTCAATGGAAATTTGTAATAAAATAGTCTCAGAAGGGCTAGAACCCAGAGCCGTAAAGCCAATTAAAAAAACAACAAAATATTGTAAAAATAAGTGATTTTCAATAATTTATTTCTCAAAAAGTACGTGTTTCCGCATATTGAAACTTTGTGTGTGTGCCTATAAAATGTAACCTTTCTGTAAAAATGCGTATCAACACCCAACTCGACGGACGTCAATGGAAAGTCGAATCGACCTGGTAACATACAATGCACGCACCCTGAGGACTGACGAGAAGATTGTGGAGCTGGAAGAAGAGATAGACAAGTTACGCTGGCATATTATAGGGTTATCCGTAGTCCGAAGAGGGGGAGGACACGGTAATCCTCGAATCCGGCAACTTGCTCTATCACCGGGAGGGCGACCATCTGTCCCAAGGAGGTATCGGATTTATCGTCCACAAGCCTCTCGTTAACAACGTTGTAAAGATTGAGAGTGTATCGACGAGGGTTGCGTACCTTATACTGAGAATCACCAAACAGTATTCGCTGAAGGTCATACAGGTTTACGCACCAACCTCGGCACACCCCGATGAGGAGGAGGAGGAAATGTATGAGGATATCTCTAGAGCCATGCATTCCTCGGTTTGACAAAAAATGAGATTGACTTCATTATGACGACTGTTCAGTGATGTCTCCGTGATCGCGAGGGTGAAAACTGGTAGTGATCACCGAATGGTTAGAAGCACACTGAACCTAAACGTTAAGTTGGAGAGGTCTCGTCTAATAAAGTCAACGCTCCGTCCCCATCGTGCTCTGTTCCAAAGTCCCGAAACCTTTCAGCTCGAGTTACAAAACCTTGTTCCGTGCCTAGAAGACTGCAATGAAGTGGACGATATGAATGACAAGCTCTTGGAAACTGTCCATGCGGTCGGAGCTAAGTTCTGCAAGACCCGCCGCAGAAGAACACAAAAACTCTCCGATCACACTCTTAATCTCATGGCTGTTAGACGGGAGATGAAGCTACATTCTTCAACAGATTTGACAGCATACAGGCAACTGAACAGACAGATCTCCAAATGCATGCGGCGGGACTTACGCAACTTCAATACAGCTTGTATTGAAGAAGCGATTGAGCGGAACCAAGGCTCCAAAGTCTTTGCCAGAGATCTGTCAGCCAGAAAGAGCCAATTGTCAAAGCTGAAGACCGAGTGTGGCAGCATCGTTTCCGGAGCACCTGAGATTTAGAGTGAGATTGAGAGGTTCTATGGGCAGCTGTACATGTCATCCTTGGAGCCACACGCAAGTGTGAGTAAGGGATCCAAGAGCGAGTCTTATCCGACACTATTCCGTAGATATCCCGGACGTCATTCTGAGGGAGATTAGAATGGCTCTCCAGCACCTTAAAAACGGCAAGGCC